TCCGTCCTCGTGACCCGCGAGGACGGCGCCGTCGTCGACACCGGCACCCTCGTCGGCTGCTGCGCCTGCGCCGTCGGCTGGCTCCAGATCGGCGGCGACGTCCGGATTCGTACTAGGTGGAGCAGCCGCCTGGTCGACAAGGGCGGGTGCCGGTCGCGGCAGGTCTGTCTCCTGCAGCACCGTGCGATCCGCGGACGGCGCTCGAGCTGGGATCGCCTGAACCTCCGACCCTGCTCTCTGGTCGTCGGGCTGCGCGGTGCGCTTGACGTTGGCGGCCGCGGATCGCTTCGTCTTGGCCTCCTGTGGTCCGGCGAGCGCATGCAAGGTGTAGCGACGGCAGCATCGTCAGCGTCGTCGGCATGATCAGCGCCGGGCGGCACGGCGGGAAGTCGACGCACCTGTTTGAGCTCCGAGATGAGCTCCTCGAGGGCCAGGATCTCGAGCTCCTCTTTCTGGGTGGCTTGCCGGATGCGAGCCAGCTCGGTCTGGATCTCTGTGCTGCGACCTGCGGATGCTGCCAGCAGACCGCGTCCGGCCGAAGGGGCGGCGGCGTCGTTGCTGCCCGTCGGATCGAGCTTGCCGTCGCGGATGGAGCGGATGCGGGCTTCATTGGCCTGGGAGCGCTGTTCAAACTCGCGCACCGCTCTGGCCAGCTCGGCGTGCTTCTTCAAAAGGCCCTTGATGTGCTTGCGGGCTTTTGGCGCCGAGCGGCTGCGGGTGAGGGAAGGCGGAGACGAAAAGCGAAGGCGGAAGCCAAAAGCGAAGGGAGAAGCAGAGACTGGGTCAGAGGAGGCGGCGCCCCTCCCTGGACGCAGGGCGCTGCGGGCGCGGCCGACTCACTAGTCGTCGTTGAGCTTCTGGGCGGCGAGGAGGAGGGTCTTGATGTCGGTGGCGGGGTCGTCGGTCGCGCCCGCGGTGTTGCCGGCGAGGTCGGCCCTGTTCCTGGACGACAGGGTCTGGCGGAGCGGCGTTGGTGGCTGAACGTGCCTGGGCTCTGGCATGCGCGGTGCGAGGAGCTGCTCGGCCTCCTGGGCCTCGAGGGCCTTTGACTTTGCGCGGTCGCCGGTGCGGTGGTGGTGGTGGGGCTGGCGTTGTACGTACTGGCTGGGGCCGGCGTTGGGCTGGGACTGGGGCGGGGGCGGGTACCAGAAGAGGTTTGCCTCGGTGTGCTGGTCGGCGTCGCGGATGTAGGTGATGATGTCGAGGCGCTCGCGGTTGAGGACGGCCGTGGTGAAGGGCGTGGCATTGACGCCGGTGCGGGTGCGGCGGCGGGCGGCGGCCTGCCGCTTGTTGATGGCGAGCAGCGTGGCGCCGAGCGTCGTCATGTGCGTCTCCATGGCGGCGGCGGTAGTGACACGAGGGTTGGCGCAGCGATGGTGGTGGTGCGCAGTGGAGATGTGAACGGACGCGGTCCGCCCAACGTCGAGGATCTCGGGATGCGGGGGGGCGCGCGTGTTTGCTGCTGCTGCTTGTGCTTGTGTTGGGCTGCGAGGCCAGGCGTGCGTGTTGATCTGGACTGGGCTGGTCTGTGGCCTCCAGACCGGCCTGCCTGCTGCCCCAACGCGCTTTTTCGAGCGCAGGGTCGCGTCGAGGCCGAGATCAGAGGCAGGCCGAGCTGGCTGGCTGCTGGCTGCTGGTCTGCTGGCCCACGGGTCCACGGGCGGGCGTGGTTCGGTCAAATCCGAATCCGAGTCTCGAGTAGTGCCTTGGCGGGGGCCTGGCAGGCCTCTTGTCTGGCGGCCAGCACTTTGGCCCGGCGGGTTTTTTTCTTTTTCTTCGCCCCTTTGACCGAGGAAGCACTCACAACTGGGCAGGCAGCGCCTCGGCGGCCACGCTTCCATGGATAAAAGGCGGCGGTCCAACGTCGGCCCCCCGTCGCTTCGCCTCTCCCCGTCGCCGGTCGTTGTGTCACTCCACCCTCCCTCTCCCTCTTTCCCTCCTTCTCCCCTCTAGCCCTCCCCAGAAGTGCACACAACGACCGACCGACCGACCGGATCGATCGACCGAGCCAACAGAGCGAGCACGTCGTCCATTCTCGAATCCAAACCGAGCCTGCCCGTGATCCTGCTCCCGCTCTCGGCCCCCCTCTGCCGCCTGCCTGGCCCCGATCGTTGATAGAGACAGAGGGCAGCGTACAACGACATGTGCTCCCACCGCAAGCCTTCCCCCCCTACTGACCCGCAGGCTCAGGCTGCGGCGGCCAGGCCCAGGCCTCCGATCCACAGCTCGAGCAACTACAGCTACCCCTCGACGCGCGACTCGTCGCCGGCTTCCAGCGAGAGGACCCCCTTTGACCTCACCTCGCCCTCGCCCGGCACTCCGCCCGCCACCCGCGCCGATGCCGCCCACTACTCCGAGGCAGACGAGAAGCGCCTCCACGAGGTGAGTGCGCAGCTCGGGCCTTGCGTGGCGTGCGAAAGCGCTCGATCCGGAAACGCGCATCGTCCGATGCCCGGGCCGCTCGGCTGACCGACCGACCGACCGACGAGGGACGCTACTGACCTGACGACTGCCCGCTGTCTGCTGGCTGCCATCCAACTCTCCGCACTGTCCAGGCTGATGGCCACTTCTGGGCCCACCGCCGCATGTCGCAGCACGAGTCGAGCGCCTCGCCCATGGCCATGCCCACCCGCCTCCAGGGCTCCTTCACCGCCTCTTCGCAGACCGATCGCGACCTCGAGGCCGCCTTTGCCTCGAGCTCGCTCAGCAAGGAGGCATCGCGCCTCTCGCAGGGCATGTCCGCCCTCGAAGTCGGCGACGACCAAGACGACGATGGCGCCGACCGCGGCCGTAACAAGGCCGCCGCCATCCCTGCATCCGAGGTCGATCCGAACCCGGACCTGGCCGTTTCGGGCGACGGCTCCCACGTGCCCCCTCCCAACGTAGCCCACGGCTTCGTCTCGGGCGCTGCGGCCGACAGGCAGCCCGCCCTCTCGGCCACCACCGGTGCCAGCGCAACGGCGGCCAGCCACTTTGCCGCATCGCCCGCCGAGGCCGCCGCCGCCGTTGCTGGTCTGGGCGCCGCCAACCACGAATCGGCCCACGCGCCGCAGCAGGTGGGCCTCGACGGTGCCGCCGGACCCAACGTCGCCATCCACGCCGAGCTGTCTGGCGAGCTCAAGGCGCTTTACGGCAGCCTGCAAAAGTGCCTCGACCTGCGCGACAAGTACATGGGCGTCAGCCTGCAGAGCAAGATGGAGGACAACCCCAAAAACTGGGACGCCGAGCACTGCGCCCGCGTGGCACGGGTTGCGGGCAACGACGCCGCAGCCGACGCCGCCGCGCCGAGCGCCAGCGTCGCCGAGGGCTCGATCAAGGTCGACGGCAGCGCGTTTGACGAGGCCACCGGGCAGCCCAAGCCGTGGCGCATCTACCCGGCCCCGCCGCGGCCGCACTGGGAGCTCTTCAACCCGCCGCCGGCGTCGTCGTTTGTCGTGCGCCCGACGTCAGTCAACCCGCTGCCCCCGCCCATCCCGCCGGCCAGCCCCGCCAACGCCACCGCCGCCCAGCAGCTGCTCGAGAGCACGGGTGGTAAGCCGGGTGCCTACCGCG